CTGCCATCTTCACAAGTGGCTATAATGCTTTGCCCGACTCTATATGGATGATTAAAGTTTGGAAAGAAACAGCTTACAGAAATCATCTCTACCTAGACAATTTTCAGTCGCAGTAACAATAACTCAGGACCATATCCAAGCAACCTAAAATTCACTAAAATTCCTGTATACACTTCCTACCTTATTCAGAGAAAAAACACTTATTAAGACGGTTTAAGTAAAGATCTAGTACATAGCAACACAAAACACCAGGCAAGCATATCTTGATTCAGCCCTGGAAATACTCTGGAATTTGAAGATGCAACCATAGCATAAAATGGCTTTGCACTAATAAACAGATTACTGCAGTCACTACTTATTTCCAAACCTTCAAATAGGCACATTTCCCTCTTGAGTTGTGCTTCCCAGTAGTTTTGAATTTGTCTATTTCTGAACTTCAAACAACACAGAATATGGATGCTTACAATATACCTACTGAACCTTTTGGCAATTTAAACTCTTTATACTAACTTGTACTCTCAAAACTACTTGAAAGACTGTCTCGTTACCCAGCAGCTCCACCTGTAAATGAAAATACTTACTGCCAGGTTTTGCATTTAGACATGCCATCCAGGACTTGCAGGTATCACCTGTATTTCAAAGTGTCCAGCCTGAGGTATCTGACGCAGTTAAGATTAAATTTAATTCTATTCAGACAATTAGTAAGTTTTGAAAAAATAACTAAGAATTGTTAAGGAAGATTCCCATGGTGTTTTTAGTCTATAGAAAAAAAAAATAACATTTAAAAATCCAGAGTTAACGAGCCTGCAACAGTTATACTGAGATTATTGTTTCCTACACAATTGCGGTTTGTAAGCTGAAAAAAGGAAAAAGTGCACCACCAAACTACTGGTTTTTAAACAGCTTTGGAATTAGTATTAATTTTGGGGTTCCTCTCAAAGTGGAAAGATGTCAACAACGTAGAAGAGACACGGGACAGGCAGCGAAAGGAGAAGAAAACTACTAATAATCTAGATGGTCTCAATAGTGCAGGAAGGTTAAGAGCTTTTTGTTCCATTAAATCCACAAGGAAATCCAGCCTCTAAGCAATTGCAATTGACTAGGTAGTCATGAAAAAGGCAAGGTAAAATAGGGTCTGCTATCATACTGCAACTTAAAACAAGCTACACAGTACAAAAGGGAACTTAAGATGCCATGTAGCAGTCTTGCAGCCTTGATGTAAATGCAACATTATTTAAGAAGCATTGAGCAATTAAGTTTCTAAAGAACAAAAGCAACAAGAAGCCATAAAGAAACTGTCGTTATTTTACCATAGTAGCATGTATCTATTATATCAGTGGTAATTAACAACTCTGGAAGAGTGGATTATTAGATATGTGATGAATATACATTTCACAGGGACACTTTATGCAGTAGTATTTGATTACAACACCCCACCTGTCTATAGATCAATAATTTACCACTTCAATTTACGCATACCATCGGATCAAACTTCGTAACAACTCTATGACTGCACTGAAGAGTCAGAGTATCCTTTTGTCTGCACACCAGCCCAGAGATATTTTTCACCCACTGAAGGGGGCTCAATCTTGAGTTGCAGGATAGGTACAACACGTAGCTCTGCTGTAGCAGGAAACAGGACTTATGTTTCAATTATTTCAGTCTGAAGCTGATCCCAAACATAAAAATCTTATTAATCTTTTCTACCAGCAATGACTAGAAGGATACATTTTATACAGTACAAGAAAGCACATCTCCAGCAAACCAGAGAAGCAATGGGCACGCCATTCTAGAAGGACCCTCAGCAGTTAAGAACAGACTGAAGGGAGTTGACTACTTTTTACATTGAGAATCCAGAAGACTAAGAGCAAACCAGATTTAATTTCTTGCCTCTAGATAATTTAACTTGAACTTTGCTTTTCATTTAATAAAACAGAGTCCCTGACAGTTACTTGATTCCCTCCTCTTTTTTCCTCCCCAGGTAAAATAATATGCAAAGCAATACCCTTGTTAAAGCAGAAGGTTTTTAAAGTCTTCTGTAATTTGACATTTCAGTTACACTTAATGCTTTCCCAATTACATATTCATTGTAACCTATCAGAAATTCTAATTTCATACGTCATCCCTTATTAGTCATATTGAACAACGACTTTCACATCTTTTATAAAAGAGGTAAAAAACTTTTGGGTTTTGTAATGAACTAAGATAACAACTGTGTTCACAGTTCTACCACAGTATTCTGATGTCCACCTGAATTGTGTGGATAACTGGTTTCTGAAGCAACTAATTCACAGCTTTGAAACAAACAGTTGGTTAAGAGTCATTCATTTCAGTTACAGAATCACACAGAATATTAGGGGTTGGAAGGGACTGCGAAAGATCACCCAGGCCAACCCCCCTGCCAGAGCAGGGTCACCCAGAGCAGGTCACACTGGAACGCATCCACACGGGTTTATGAAATATCTCCAGAGACAGACACTTCACACCCAGTCTGGGCAGCCTGGGCCAGGGCTCCATCACCCGCACAGGAAAAAAGTTTTTCCAAATGTTTCTGTGGAATCTCCTGTTCCCCAGCTTGCACCCTTTGCCCCTTGTCCTGTCACTGGACATCCCGGAGAAGAGCCTGGATCCATCCTCCTGACACTCACCCTTCACATATCTATGAACATGAATGAGGTCACCCCTCAGGCTCCTCTTCTCCAAGCTAAAGAGTCTCAGCTCCTTCAGCCTTTCCTCCAAGGGAGATGTTCCACTCCCTCCATCATCTCTGTGGCTCTGTGCTGGACCACTAGACACAGGCCTCCAACTGGATTCTGTCCCACTGACCACAACTCTCCGACTTCTTCTCTTCAAACAGTTCACAACCCACCTCCCTACCCAGTCATCTAGACCACACTTCCTCCGTTTAGCTACAAGGATGCTGTGGAGAGACAGTGTCAAATGCTTTATTGATATCCAGATAAACCACATCCACTGCACTGCCATCACCTATCCACCCAGTGGTGTCCTCATAAATGGCTATCAGACTGGTCAAATACGACTTCCCCTCAGTAAAATCATGCTGACAGCTGGTAAGGAGCTTCTTTATCCTTGATACGCCTAGCGACAGCAGCAAGGATAAGTAGTTCCATCATCTTTCCAGGGATGGAGGTGAGGCTGACTAGTCTGTAGTTACCTGCATCCTCTTTCTTACTCTTTTTGAAGACTGGAGCGACATTTGCTTTCCTCCAGCCCTCAGGCACCTCTCCTGTTGTCCATGACTTACCGAAGATGATGGAGAGTGGCCTAGCAATGACCTCTGCGAGCTCCCTCAGTACCCGTGGGTGCATTCTGTAAGGGTCCATGGATTTATGGATGTTCAAGTGTCCTAACTGATCCCTAATCCAGTCTTCCTCAACCAGGGCAAACTCCTCCTTTATCCTGACTTCCTCTGGGGCCTCAGGGCCCTGGGGCTCCTGAGAACAGTCTCCAGCGGTAGAGACAGAGGCAAGGAAGGCATTCAGCAACTCTGCCTTCTTTGGATCCCCTGTCCCCAGGGCACCCACCTCATTCACCAAGGGGCCTACGTTGCCTCTAGTGTTAGTTCTGTGCACAGCGTATTTGAAGAAGCCCTTTCTGTTGTCCTTGACCTCCCTTGCAAGGTATAATTCCAAGGAGGCCTTAGCTTTCCTAGTTGCCTCCCTACATCCTCTAACCACAGTCTTACATTCCACCCAAGTGGCCAGTCTCCTTCCATGATCTATAAACTCTCTCATTCCACTTCCATTTGCCCAGCAGTTCCCTGTTTAACCATGCGGGTCTCCTGGCTCTCGTTCTTGGTTTCCTACCTGTTGGGATGCACTGATGTTGAGCTTAGAAGAAGCGGTCCTTGAATATTAACCAACTCTCTTGGGCCCCTTGACCCTCTAGTACCCTGTCCCATGGGGTTTCACCTAGCAATTGCATGAAAAGACCAAAGCTGTCCCTGCTGAAGCCCAGGATTGTGATCCTGTTTGGTATTCTGTTCCTACCGCACAAGATCCTGAACTCCCCCATCTCGTGGTCCCTGCAGCCAAGGCTGCCCTCAACCTTCACTACTTCAACTAGATCCTCCTTGGTAGTGAGCACAAGATCCAGTAGCGTTCCTCTCCTAGTCAGCTCATCCACCATTTGCATCAAAGTCACCATTGATGCACCGGAGGAACTTCCTGGACTGAGGGTGGCTGGCTGTGCAGGCCTTCCAGCAAATATCTGGGTACTTGAAATCCCCCAGGAGAATCAGGGCCTGGGATTGAGAGGCTGCTGCTGGCTG